TGCTTTGGTGAAGGAGATTTTAACAGAACTTTAAAAGAGATCAGTCACCACCTCTAGCTGCAAGGCTGCTGGGTTTTCAAAGCTACCACACCACTGAACTAGAGAGAGAGGAGCGATAAAATGAACCCCACATTAAAACACTACAGGCCCTCCTTTTAGAGAACCATGAATTATATCAGTATAGATAGATTGATAGTTGGTGGGGGAGAGTTAAATTATCCTAAAAAAAAAAAAAGAAAAGATTTCTAGGTATTTTACTCTCATGATTGTTTCTACTTTCACTCTGAAAGTAGAAGCAGATGTGAGAATCCAAATGTCTTATATTAAACCAGATATTAAAAAGATCTGCAAGCCGGGCGCGGTGGCTCACGCCTGTAATCCTAGCACTCTGGGAGGCTGAGGCGGGCGGATTGCTCGAGGTCAGGAGTTCGAAACCAGCCTGAGCAAGAGCGAGACCCCGTCTCTACTATAAATAGAAAGAAATTAATTGGCCAACTAATATATATATAAAATTAGCCGGGCATGGTGGCACATGCCTGTAGTCCCAGCTACTCGGGAGGCTGAGGCAGCAGGATTGCTTGAGCCCAGGAGTTTGAGGTTGCTGTGAGCTAGGCTGACGCCACGGCACTCACTCTAGCCTGGGCAACAAGCGAGACTCTGTCTCAAAAAAAAAAAAAAAAAAACAAAAAAAGATTTGCAAAAATATAAAATAATACCACTCTTCTCACTAAATTTCTGGTCTGAAAATTATAGTTTTTCATAAGAATATGTTATTTATATAAACTTGTAGTGAGCTTATTATTTTTAAGTAAATTAATAATTTTTTTCAGTTTTAATTTATAATGTGGTATAAACTCATAAAGAAAACTTCTTTGGAGTCCTCAATAATTTTTATGACTATAAAGGGTCATAAGACCAAAAACTTTGAGAAGAGCAATGATACATCAAGTAGCTAAAAGACAAAATGAATGGAAAATGAATTACTTAAATCTTTTATCAAATACAAACAAAGAAACTATTGTACATTGATTGAGACACAATATAAATATTGTGAAATAGTGTAAAACCAAGCAATCCACAGCAAAACAACAAAATGATATTAGTAGAAAAAAGACAAAACTAAGGATGCTCTAAAATGCTGACCCATAAAATACTTCACATTTTTAAGCTTGTAAATTTCTAAAAATATCACAATAAGTACTTTGGATGAAGAGAAAGAATCAGCAATATTTAAAAATGGTAAATTTTTTTCAAAATTAATTTTTATAAATCTTAGATATTTCTTTTTTAAGGAAGTTTGTGTTTGTAGATTATCCAGCATGGAAAAATTATCAGAGATCATAGAAAAAATCTTGCATCTGCTCATTAATTGGCAAATATTTAATATAATAATATATATGAGGTATTTTATTAGCTAAGGAAAATAAAATCCATATAATGATTCATTCACCAAAAGTATGAATTATTCAATTAAATTACTATATATATATCAATTAAATGAAATATATATATATAGTGTGTGTGTGTGTGTATTCATTATGTGTGTCTTTTTTACTGAGACTTAGGGTGTGTGGGGGGTTGTTTATATTACTTTCAGTGTATTTTAAAACATCAGCCAACTACATTTTCTCCAACTGCTTAAAAACAAAAGAGAATACAGAATTTGTATGGAGTCTTAAAATCAATCACATTCTAGGAATCCTAATAGTCTTAGTAGGGTTAGGAGATTTAGTTGCCTTGTTATTTTAGAAGTAATTATTTTCCTTATCACAGAAGCAAATATATCCAAATAGCTACCTAAATGGTAATTATTAATTAATGTAATTTACACCAAGAAAGGACAACTCATAAGTGCAGGGCTACACTGAGATTAAAAAAAAAAAAAGCTTCAGATTGATTAAACGTGTTGAAGTCTGGAGCAGGTCAAGATGTATTATAATATTGTCACAATAAGTTATTCTTAACCTATGATATATATAAATAGTCTACTTGGATCTTGCTAAAAGCACAGTTTCATAGGAGTCTCCTCTTTAACAGAGTCTAATTACATGTATGTTGAGGTGGAAGCCTAGGAATCTACATTATAGCAGGCATCCAAGGTGATTCTGATAAATGTGAATTCAGTTAAACACTTTGAAAAAATGTTCCAGTATAATCTAGTGAAGCCTTCCCAAGGTTCTAAAACTTTGCTTTTAAATTTTGATTCAAAATTCTGGCTTAAGTGCATTAATCTAATCTAATTTATTAAAGCTGTTTAAATTTATTTATTTATTTATTTATTTTTATTTTTATTTTTTAGATCAATATTCAGGCATGGAAGCTGTTTAAATTTAAATGCAAGCATTCTAAGAGACTTGGGATAAGGTACATAATAAACAGTTAAAAATCATTTCATCATATCAATCACGATAAAGTTGTCCAACTTTATAAATGTACATAATGGACATAAATGTGCAGTTAAAAATAATTTCAGCACAGTGAAAATTCATGATGAAGTTTTCCAACTTTGGAAAATAATTGCATTAATGGTTCTAGTTTAAAGATTTTTCAAAGAAGTTTCATTAAATTAATATCTCCTTATCTCTAAAGATTAAATCATTTAAGGTTGCACATATGTTCTTTACTTTAGAAATTGTATTAGTTCTATCCCTAGGTACTTTGTTTTTGTATAGTTTATGTGAATATAAATATTTAATATATTTTTGGTGGCCATGCTGTCTATGAAGATAGATTTAAAAAATGTGTATCAGGTAAGCTACGAACAACCATAAAGTTTCAGTAGATTCTACCAGGATATTAAATTACCTGAATATCTAATAAAATATTAATAATTCTGTAGCAGGCCTTGAAGTCTTTCTTTTTAGAGCAGTACTTAATTTGTCTTTCAAACTCAACACTTTTAAAAAAAAAATAAAGTTCTCATGGTTGTGTAATTTAGACATTGGCTACTAAGTTGCTCATTTTAACTGTAGTTTAGATCAAGCCAGACATTCACCCAATATTTTATTGAATATCTACTATGTACAAGATGGTGGCTATGCACAGGGATACTATTCTGATGTATTTCAAAACTTAACCTATATTCATACATCTAACCATATAGCAGTCTGAGTATGGTAAATGTTTTAATGGAGGCATAAAGATGATGGGGTAGAGGAAGAATAATAATTATGTCTGGGAGAAGGCTAGGAGGAAAGGGTTGGAAAGTGTTGTAGAAGAATGCAAAAAGAGAAGTAAATTTGACTTGGACTTTGAAGACCAATTGAGATTTCAGCCAACTGAAAAATATGAAGAACAGAGGGAATAATTGGAGTAAATAAATGCATGGAGTCTTGAAATCGTGTCCAATGTGTCGGGGGGCATGTGATGAATAACATAAGTGACATGGAAACAGGAGAAGATCAGACAGGCCATGTCAGTCAAGCTCAGGTTCTGAATAAGCATTAAAAATATGTTTCGGAGTTATCATTTGAGTCTGTAGAAAATAAAGTAGTGTTGAATGCAAAATTCATATGGTGTGTCAACCTAAGTAACAAAGAGAGATTCTCCAAAGACACTGAGTTTACTTGGGAATGTGCAGGAGATATGCAATTCCAGGATATGAGGACCATAGGCAGGCTATGAGGACCATAGGCATATCCACAGTGGTGAGGAGAGGCAAAAGGGAAAAAAAAAGTACAAGCAATTTGTTTTGAGAGGAAGAGAACACTGGTTACAGGGGTTTATCCGAAGAGTTGATACCAGTTCATTACTGGAAGCAGCATGTCAGACAAGGGTTCTCATGCATCCAGCTAGCTGTCTTGGTGACTCATGTAGTAAGCTGCAGTTTAAAAAGTCTTTGGCAAAAGTTTTCCTTAAAGGTTTAAGTGTGTAAGAGGCCTTCAGAAAGTCTTTGCAATAGTCCTTATCATTGGTGTGTGTGTGAGGCCCCTCCTTTCTTAGCCCCCACCCAGCTTTATTTATTTATTTTTGTTAAGTTTGACACAGTGACTCCATTTTGATTCTGACAACTTTTACAGGTGGTACATACCTATGCCTTTGGAATATTCCTCTGGAGGCAGTGTTGAGAGTTAATTTCAAGGAGGAAAAAAGCTTGAGGCAAGTATACTATCAAGAAAAAGGTTCTTTAATAGTTTCCTGAATTAAGATAGTAGTGGTGAGTACAAAAGAAAGCTGCGGGCAAAGGGAGAGGAAGAAAGGAAAAAGGAAGGAAGGAAAGAAGGAAAAGAAGAGAAGAGGAGAGAAGAGAGGAGAGGAAGAGGAAGGGAGGGAGGGAGGGGAGGAAAGGAGAGGAGAGAGAGAGGGAGAGGAGAGAGAGAGAAGAGAAGAGAGAAGAGAAGAGAAGAGAAGAGAAGAGAGAGAAGAGAAGAGAAGAGAAGAGAAGAGAAGAGAAAGATGGGAGGAAGGAAGGAAAGGAAGGAAGAAGGGAGGGAAGAAGAAGGGAAGGGTGGGAGGAAAGAAAGGAAAATACTGGTAAAATAGAATTAGGATAAACTAGTGACTCCTTGCATACAAATATGATCCTAAAGTTTGACTTAAAAGCTCTAGCTGATATGTTAAAACTGAATTTTAAAGCTGTAAACAGCCGCTGAATTCACTTTGTTTTTTTTAAAAAATATTTATGACATTGATTATACGTTTTCTATTTCTCTACCTGTTCAGATATAAATTTACTGATTTCCTTATTAAAACAAATACCTGTATGATTAACTTCCTACCTACTCATTAGATTTTATTACTTTGCTTCATTTCCAAATTTTCTTTTAGTTTTATTGCCATTTCACCTCACTATCTATTTCAAATTTCTTTTGAGCATTACTTAAAAAATAATCCAGATTTACTATATTTAAAACATTTTTGTAACCCTACTTTTCAACCGGCAGCATCCCAAGTGACTCAATAGCTGAAAAATTACTAGCGCTTTGTGTCGCATTGGTTCATATGACCTAGTCGCCCATCATCCCTTCCCGTAGAAGCCCCGCGCACATCCCCACGGCGGAGGCCGGGGCGCCCACTGTGGGCGACCTTTCCTCTCGGTGACTCGCCCACGTCCACATCGGCCACGGCCAGTCGCAGTCCCCAGCCAGCCTCAAGAACAAGCGCTGAGCCTGACTCCTTCCCCTGGAATGGAAACTGAGTCATGTAAGACGTTTAAGTTTGTGTACCTGGGAAAGTTGGCTTTAGAAGGTTAAGTTCCAAATCCAAGTTATGAGAGCAAACGTTGTACATGGCCCGAGGAAGCCAGTCAGGCCGGGGAGAAAGCTGGAGCTAATGACAGAGGGACAGGGGCAGCTGTGTCAGAGAGGGGACTTGTCATGCGTGAAGGAGAACAAGCCCTCATCATGACTGACATCCTTCCAACTGTTATATTTTTGAAATATAACCCCCTTTTTAGAAGAAAACTACATGCATGTTTGGTCTCTTATAACCAAAATAGTCTACCTCAAGCTTTCTATAAATCTCTTACAGCTCTTCCTTTCTGGAAAACGAAAATATGCCTAAACCAGCTCAGAGCCACGCCAGGGGGTGACAGGACACACCCCTGTCCCTGGTCACAACTAATAAAAGGGTATAAAATAATGAAGCCTCTCTTTTAAAATAAGTGTTCTTAAGTTATAGATATTACCATATCTCTTTTATTTCAACATAAAATTCGGTCAGAATCTCTGTCTGGTTTGCTAACAGAGGTGCAGTCCGTCTATGTTCTGTACCTTCCAGTTCACACTTGCAGCAAGTTAGCCTTTTATTATTTGAGCAAAAAGAGAGAGGTTTAAAAAAGAAAAAAGGAGAGCAGATATTTTCCCATATACAGCAGCTGTATTTTTGACCTTTAGAATAAAATCAGAAAACATCATTAATCTGTTTTAAAAATGAACATACCATAAATTCACTGTTTCAAATCCTATTTTAAAAAATAGGTGAGGTAAATATCTAAATAAATGAACTACAAAATAGGCATCCAATATATATTCAAAGTATACAAGTTGTAAGCACTTATTCCAGTGACTGCTATTAATTACAACACATTTGAACTCCCATTTATACTTGCTTTGAGCAATTTTTAAGAAAGTCAGTCTCACTGCATTTAGCCATACCTTATTTGTAACTCCACATGGTTTCACCTTGTTCGAAACTTGTACCAGCCTTTGGCAAATAATGCCTTTTCTCATTTTCCAAAAGAATCGGTTCCACTCTCAAATGATGAAGATTAATTATTTTTAAAAAGTGCTACAAATTCTGAAGGTATTCATTCCAAAAGCAGTTCCAAAAATATTTTATGCAACAAGTTTCCCTGGGTGATTACTTTAAAAGGGAGAATTCACATGGGAACATAAATTTCAATATACTCAATATTTTCTTTTTAGAAAATTAGTCATAGTAAAGGAAGAACTACTAGGAAAATAAATAGAAAAAAATCATTTATTTCATTTTTATTGCTATTTTTGGTCCTGTTACATTTTTATGTTGACATAGCCCAATGCCCCCTTCTCTGCCCCTCCACAGTAGATTACATTAATAAATATTTATTCAGCCACACTCTGTGGCAGGCATAGTTCCAAGCAGGTCTTGTCTACATATTGTTCCCCATCTGTACTATGTGATTAAATTTGAATATGGTTTACGTGCTAAATTTATAAAGTAAGTTTAACAACATTTTTCATTTACTGATCATCTGTCATATATCAGAACTTATTTCCTAGTATGTAGGAATTCTAACAAGGATTCTTTCCTAAAGACTCTATAATCAGGTATGGAAAATAAATTACGTCCACAAGTGTCTAAAAAGTAAAGCACAAAGAGTCTATAAAGTAAAGCTACAAGAGAGGTACCAAGAAAGGAGATGGGGTGATAAAAATTACCTTAATTTTATTTTATCATTTCAATTTGGGATTATGCCCTTTAGTAGACAATTTTATCATTGTGCAAATATCATAGAGTATATTTACACACACCTAGGTAGCACAGCCTACTGCATGCCTAGGCTGTATGGTATAGCCAGTTGCTCCTAGGCTACAAACCTGTACAGCATGTTGCTGTACTGAATACTGTAGGCAACTGTAACACAGTGGGAAGTATTTGTGTATCTAAACATATCTAAACATAGAAAAGGTCATGGGTTGCTCCACTTTATGATGGCTCTGATGTCACTAGGGGATAAGAATTTTTCATCTCTGTTATAATCTTAGGAGATCACCATTGTATATGTGGTTTGTCATTAACCAAAACAATGTTATGTGGTGCATGACTGTATCTAGTTTGGGATAATAGTATGGCACAGATATACTACCTAAAATTGCTCATTTATGGTAAACTTCTTTTTCTTTTTTGATTAACTGAAGTTTTATTTGTGGATTTTGGTCTAATTAAGTTCTCTGGAACCTTGAGCATTTGGAGGAATAATGTTTCCATCTCTACCCAAACTTGTTTTCCTAAATGTATCAATGATTTTTTTTTAAAAGTAAGTCTTTTGCCAAAATTATCTAGAATATCTGGCATAATTTACACATATCATAAATATATACTTAATTTGGCACCATTTTGGCCTAGATAAGGAGGATATTATTATGAGTACATTTTAAAATAGGAAAAACTTATGCCAAGTTTTGAGGAAAAAAACATAAAGAGTATTTGGGACAACTGTGAGGAAGAAAGGATTATATCACTCTGGTTCCAACAAATCTAATTCTAGAAAATAAAACTGAATCTAAAATATCATCCCAGAATTATGTTATTCATTTCTTTTGACACATAGAGAACTGAATATATGCTGTTATCATGTGAGATACTATATGGGACGTAAGAAGGAAGGAATGAGGAAGAATACAAATAGAGAAGTTATTAATTTTAATAGATATCAATAATTTGATTATTTCCTTTTATGGTTTGCATTTTGAATACTGTCTAAGAAATTGTTGCCTACTTTAAGTTCACAAAGACTTTTTTTTTTTTTTTTGAGACAGAGTCTCACTCTGTTGCCTGGACTAGAGTGCTGTCACGTTAGCCTAGCTCACAGCAACCTCATACTCCTGGGCTCAAAAGATCCTCCCGCCTCAGCCTCCCAGAGTGCTAGGATTACAAGCATGAGCCACCATGCCTGGCTGCACAAAGACCTTTTCTTATGTTTTCTTTTAAAAGTTTTATAGTGTCTGCTTTTATGCATATATGTGATCAATTTCAAATGAATCTTTGTGTGTGGTATGATGTTGAAGTTATTTCCTTCAAAGCCATATCCAATTCATCCAGTATCATTTGTTGAAAAGATTATATTTCTTCAATGAATTATCTTGATATCTCCATTGCAAATAAATTGGTCATAAAAGTGAAAAAAAGATAAAAAAATAATTCTTGCCATATTTTTTCAGATATCTTTTGATTAAAATTACAGAAACCTACCTGAACATACCATTTCAGACAAATGATTCATTGACACATGTAACCAAACTTTTTCAAGGTCACAGTAGAGCTGGGTCACAAGGTGATGGGGTCAAAGGGCTTGCCAGAGTCCACTCCCTCCACTTTTTTTCCTTGGTCCTCTGTGTGTATTCACTTTATCCAGTCAATCTGGTTTCTTACATTAGACTAGACATAAAAACACTAAAAATCTTATTCATATTGCTAATGTTCACTTCCAAAGAAGAACTGAAATGCAATTTGCCTAATGTTAAATTCTGAAAATTCCCAGAAAATAATGATTGACTCAAATTGGATAAACTGTCCATTTCTGGACAAATAATAGTAGTCAGGGCTGTGGCATATCATAATGGGGCCAACTCGGGTCAGGTACCTCATCTTACTAGATCAATCACTGTAACTGTGATAACCTCCACCAGAATCCCACGAATAGTTATATATATAAGAATGAAGGAGAAGGAGTCTGAGTGGAAAATCATAGGCGTCCACTGTATTGTCTTTGGAAGTTAAAATAATTGAGTTACCACATGATGAAACATGCTATTAACTTTTAGATAGAACATCTTAAGCTGTCAATTAGTTTTCTAATATAAAATTTGTTTTGAACATAACCAAATACATAATATTTCCAGAATGGGAATAAAGTGAATCATGTCCAGGGTGCAGAGACCAATTAGAACTGTGTCATTAGAGAGCATTCTACTTGCAGAATGGTTTTTATTTGATGAAATATTTGCCATTTTCTTGAGACACACAATTTGACAGTTCACAAAGCTCTGCTGCACCACTTGTTTATGATCCTAATTATAAGAGCATAGCATAAAATCACCATCAACAAACACCAGAATATCTCAAAGAACAGGCTAACAAAGGTTTTCATACAATAAAAAATGAACTGCTTATAAATTAACAAGATCAAAGTTGTGGTACCTAAAATGGCACAATAATTTTCCCTGAATTATGTTCCAGAAAATAAATAATACTTAAAAAGAAACATAGCATTGCCTGCAGAGTTTGAAATTGCTGCCTCTGACAACAATACTTCCTGTTGATATCAATTTTCCTCAGGGGCGAGATATTTAACTAGCAGTGCTCTCCAACTGAGCACCAGCACTGTCTGCTTGTGACTAAGTCTTTACATACGTGGTCTGATTTGGGGTCCCAGCCTGGTTTCACAGTCCACAGGCTGTGTTCTGTTTGCAAGAAATGGCATAGTCACTGAATGACCATTTGTCCAACATTGCTCTCTTGTTTCTAAGCTGATAATGTTGTTCTGCTTCCAACTGCTTCAGTATTTCTCACATGAGGCACCTTGTTGAATACTTAAAGCAAGAGTTAATCTCTAGAGGTCATAATCCATGATCATGTATGTCCCATTTCTTATACAGCAGCTATTGGTCTTAGCCATATTCTTAGACCCTCAAGAAAATCACAAATTTCTTGTCTCATGTATGGTGGGTACTCTACCCATTCATACCATCTAATGGAGAAAAATCCCCAGAGGATAGTGCATGTGAATTAGTCAACTTTTCATTTTCTAGGACAGATCCTTCTGAATAGTAAGCACTTGATAAAAGTTGTTGGTTAAATAAATAAATGAATGACACAACTAGGAAGAAATAACTCCAATAGAGAAACTGAGGGTGGGCTTTCACATTATAGTGCCAACTGTCTTCATGAGTAAGGTTGCATATATACTATATTAAAACATAATAATATAGCTACTACTT